TCCTCTCTTCCCCTCCGCGCGTCCTCTCTTCCCCTCCGCGGGTCTTCACTTCCCCTCCGCGCGTCTTCACTTCCCCTCCGCGCGTCTTCACTTCCCCTCCGCGCGTCCTCACTTCCCCTCCTCGCGTCTTCACTTCCCCTCCGCGCGTCCTCTCTTCCCCTCCGCGCGTCCTCACCTCCCCTCCGCGCGTCCTCTCTTCCCCTCCGCGCGTCCTCACCTCCCCTCCGCGCGTCCTCACCTCCCCTCCGCGCGTCCTCACCTCCCCTCCGCGCGTCCTCTCTTCCCCTCCGCGCGTCCTCCCCTCCCCTCCGCGCGTCCTCACCTCCCCTCTGCGCGGCCTCACTTCCCCTCCGCGCATCCTCACTTCCCCTCCGCGCGTCTTCACTTCCCCTCCGCGCGTCTTCACCGACCCAGCTCCCCGCCCAGGGCCCTGCGCTCCCTGTGAAGCGGCCGCAGCGACACCGCCCTGGGGTTTGCCTTCGAGGAAGTGTCACCTGTAAAGCGCTGGGTGTGATGGAGCGACCATCGGGTAGAGGGCAGCTGGTTGTGGTTGTTTTGCGTGTGTCGGTTTCGTGGGCTCAGAGACTGAAGGGGGTTCTCCCCAGGGTGAGGAGAGGCGAAGTGGACAGGCCGGAGGTGCCACCCCTCCACCGCCCCCACCGAGGGCATGAGACCAGGGAGGAGCGGGTTAATCCACGGGACTTTGAAGCCGGTCGGCTTTCGTGCACTGTGTCCTCCAGTGTTTCTCTTAGCTACGGGGTAACACCCGTTTGTTTAGAACTCACAGCAGATACATCTTGGGGAGGACTTTGATCCCTGGCAGCTGTGTGCGCGTGAGCAGGGCACAGTCCCAGGGGCAGGGCGCGCCTGGAGAGGAGGCGGGCTGACCTGGTCGCTCTCGAGCCCTCTGGGCTGGGCACTTCATCCCCCCAAGTCCCGGCCCCAGCCCAGCACGCTGCACTTGGAGGCAAAAGCCGAAGAGCAAACTTTGAGCAAACTCAAAGCAAACTCAGCAAACTGAGAGCAAAAGCCAAAGCTCCAAAGTCAGAGGGTCTTGGATTCAAATCCTGGCCGTGCCACTTTCCAGCTGTGTGCCCTTGGGCAAGTCGCTCAACCTCTCTGGGCTTCTTTCTTCATCTGTTAAAATAGGCGCCATGATGGTTCTCGAAGCCAGTCCTTTGCACAAAAGGAAATGGGACATGCCTGTAAAGTGCTTTGGAGTAAGGTAGGACCTTAACACATGTTCGAATGAATAAATAATCTGGCTCTGCCTGTGCAAAAGATGCCATAACATTGTAATTATGTTACAATGCAATTTGTAATGAACGAATTACATTGTTACAGTTGGCACCACTTCTGTCCAACTGTGTGACCTCCTGTGACTTATTTCCCGTTTCTAAGCCTCAGTCTCCTCATCTGTAAAATGGAAACCAGAACAGTATCTCCCTAGTAGGAAGGTTGATATGAAAATTAACTAAGTTGGTACTTGGCATATTGTGCGCTGGATAAACATTACCTTCGTCATCATCGGAAGTCACATGGCCACGCAGACCTGCGAGGGAGCCTGGGAAGTGTAGTCTCTAGCCAAGGAGGCACGTGCCCCGAATTGGGTGGAGGGAGGTGGGGAGAGTTTTCTGCCGTAAGTCCCAAAGAGGAAGGCAAGTCCCCTTTGCTGAGAAAAGGTCTTATGCTCCTCACCCCAGCCCTTAACTGCCTGTACTTTAATCTCAGCACCTTGGCCTGGTTTTGCCCTCTGATCTCAAGACATCACTCAAAATCCCCTTTTTGGGTTGTTCCAAGGTCTTACTTTGTCACCTTGTGACCTCATTTAACCTTAATTACCTCCTTAAAGGCCCTATCTCAAATACAGTCACACGGGGGGTTAGGACTTCAACATATGAATCTGGGGGCGGGGACAGGGGACACAGTTCCGTCCAGACACTCCTGCTGCTCCCTTTGGGGGGAACGTTTGTGTTCCCCTCCCCATGCGAATTGAATTGAATTTGCCTTCAAGTTCATTGAAGCACAAAATAAACCCTTCTGCCTGACCGAGGGGCAAAAAAAATGATGTTTATGAATGTGCACTCTCCCCCAAAGAAAAATGGCATCAAAAAGAAAAATACTAAGCTGAAAGGAAAATCTCACTGAACCCATAAGAAAAAGTTGGACGCTATGCATCTTTTATAAGACAACCAACCGTCCCTTGTGTAGAGTTCACCTCCTTTCCTGCCTATTATAACTAATATAGCAAACATAATTCCATTTACTAATACTCAGGGAAGTCTGGTGTTTCTCAGCTTCCAAATTGCTTTGTTGAACTGCATCTCATTGGATTCTCACACCTGCACCTAGGGGACAGGTGTAGCAGGACCCCATACATAGCTCCTATCCTATGTGCTTTTCTGGCACGGCCCCACCCCCACCCCAGCAAGAGGCCAGGGTCAGTGTCCCTGCCCTCAGATCCAGTTGCGGCTGTGACTTCTCTGACCTACAGGGTATGGCAGAAGTGATGCTCTGTGACTTCGGAGGCTAGATCCAAAAACCGACACAATTTCTGCTTGCCTCTCTTGCTCTCAGGGAAACGCACCTTGGAGGCCAGCGGCCATGCTGTGAGGAAGCCCAAATGAGCGTGTGCCGAGAACCTACATGGAAAGGCCCCTGAGGCCCCAAACAAGCCATCTCATCTGTGTTCCGTCTGAATTCTAACCACCAGCTCCTCCTTGTACGGTTACGTGGACTGGTCACACCCTGGACAGGTCCCAGCTCCCGTCAGACACAGCCCTGCACCTGTCCCTGTCAACAGGGCCCTCGGCTGTGTCCTCCCTCCCCCCTCCAGCACTAGAGACGGTCCCCACTCCTCACTGAGACCAGCCCCGGGCACTGTGATCTCCCACACCCTGCTTGTGCATCGGTAAGCTTGCCCTTCATTAAACTCCTTAAACCCCTCAGTTGGAACGTGCTACCTACATCCTCCCAGAACTAGACCAACACAACAGGCATTGCACTCGCCACCTGTCTTCTGGCTAGTGTGGCCTTTCAATCTTTCCGACCCCAACAGGCTGCTGCACGAGGCAACCACGTCTTACACGTTCAGGACATGCTGTTATCTGCAGGCTCCTCTGGGCATGGCCAGGTAGTCGGCACTTGAGACCTGCCTTCAGCAGTTCAGGAGCCAGGATGGATTCGGGTCACTCGGTTCTGTTAATGCCTCAAGTTCCTTTCTGCCACTGAGTTCGAAATTCACTAGGATTTGCACGGGAGAGGGGAAAGAACGGGGTCGTTCTAAACAAAGGAGCCACAGACCTCAGGCACAGTCCTCTGCTGGGAAGTCTCCATGACACTCCTCCTCGGGCTGTTTCCTGAAGTGTTTCTGCACCGTGTTAGAGCCAAAAGGGAGGGAAAATTAAAAAGACAAATTTTGCAGCCAGACAGACTTGAGTCGCACTGTGAGAGTGAGGACGAGACCCTGGCCCCAGCCTCCTCGACATGTAACATACAGGAAACAATGGAACCTCCTGCAGAGGCCGGTGGGGAGGATTTCACTGGGAAAACCCATGACACACAGCAAGCCCTCAACAAGTATCAGCTGTTGCAGATTGATTGCAGTGAAGAAGTGCTGGCCACGACCAGGCACGGTGACGTGCTGCTGTCTGCTCGTTAGCTCACTTAATCATCACAGCACAGCCATGTGGGAACCCCTGTTATCACCATCCTCAAATAAGGCACAGAGAGGTTAAGCATCTTGGCCAAGGTAGCACAGCTTGTAAGAGGCAGAGCTGGGATTGCAAACCCAGGTGGATGATTTCAAACAGCATGCTCTCAGCCACTGCACTAAACCTCCTGGGATCTTGATCCCGTTTTGGATTCCATCCAGTCGGCCTGAAGCCCACTACTTGCTTATTAAGTACTGCTTGCTACTCTTGGGCAAATGTGTGTGTGCAAACTGCAGTTAGGTTTGAGGTTCCCTGAGGGCAGGACACCTGACTCACATTTATGCAATAACCCAATCTTCCCAAGCTCAAAATTCAGATGTCTGCAACCAGGCAAATAAATGATGCTGTATTTCCTAACCAGCAAAGGTATTTTCAAGAAAGTGTTCTCGAAGCACCAAAGCTAAAGTGTGTTGTGGTGTACACAAGTTGCCAATGCTGAAAAGGGGGAAATCTGCCACAATCTGGGGCTGTCCTAGAAAACTGGGAGACCTTGGCTGACTACACGCACATGCTGGGCACAGAGTGGGTGGGCTGGTCGTGAGCCCTGTGTCCTCCCTGGCCACCCAGCTCTGGGCCTAGGAGGCTGGCCCGTATGGGCACGTGACACAGGGCTCCCTCCAGGCTGTGGCCAGCCAATGGGAGGCACCAACAGGCGACCGCAGGGTGGAGAAGAGGCGGTCAGAGTCCCCCCAGGTCTGGCCATGGCCCTGCCAGTGCTGTGTCTGTCTGTGCCCACAGGTGCCCTCTGGATAGCTGCAGCCCCCTCACTCCCTCTCTGCTCTGCACTGATTTCCTGACCACACACTTGAGGATTTCAAACAATGCAAATTGGTTCTTCCATAGCTCTGGAAGCCAGAAGCCCAAGATCAGTTCTGGGGGTGCTGAAATTGCAGCATCAGCTGTTCCCCCTTTCCCCCCAGGCTTGGGGGGGGCTGTTTCTTCCCTCTGCCCACTGCAGGTGGCCACTGGCTTGCCTTGGTTTGTGGCCACATCAATCTTCAAGGGCAACACTTTGTTTCTCTCCACTGCATCTGCACACCAGCCTCTGCTCTGTGTGCATCAAACCTCCCTCTTATAAGGGTACACACGATGGCATTTAGGGACCACCTGGATAATCCAGATAATCTCCCCATCTCAAGAGACTTAATTCCATCACATCTGCAAAGACTCCCTTTTTTATTTTGAGGGAGTGGGTGTCTTGGAGGAGGGGTGCCCTTCCCAGCCCACTATGATTTCCACAGTTGTAGGTCCCTGGTGCCTTAGGACAGCTTGGCCTTTCCTTATCCTGCCCACGTCTCTGCAGAAACAGCTTCAGAACCTCGGTGGCCTGTTCCCTGCTTGGGACCTCAGCCAGCACGATGTCCCCGCCCACCTGCCCTGCCAGGTCGCTCCCTCTTGCTGTAGACCCCTCTTTGACTTCCTCCAGGTTCAAATCAATTTATGCAGAAATATTCACCGACCAACGATAGCGGGGCACTCTATTCAGCACGGTCCTTCTGGGGTAAAATCGAGAATAAGCCCCCATGCATTGAGCACCAGGCCAGGTTGGGCACGTGTGTGGCGGGCGTGGAAGTCCCAGGTGTCTCCGTTCAGCCGCTCAAAGAATCTCCCCCAGGTGTGCGCGGCTCTGCACGGGCTTATCCGCGGTCCTCTGGCGCCCCCTGCTGGTCGATGTGTAGAATTGCCGGCAGCTTCTCTGACATCCGCGGAAAGACCAGCTGAGCCAACTTGCCTCTCACCCAATAAGGAAAACGCAAATGGGGTGGAGGGTTGTGGCCTGGCATTAAGCAAGAGCGCCAGGAGGCACACATCTGAAACGAGCAAAGAGGCATCAAGCCAAGCCTGTCCACTCGATGAGCGGCCGCTACAATGTATAGCGCAGTGGATAGGATCTAGGCTCTGAATCCCTGTTCACTGCCTCCTGGCTGAGTGGCCTTAGGTAGGTCACTCCGCTTCTCTGTGCTCGGGTCTCTGTGCTCAGGTTCCTTCGTCTGTAATGATTGTACCTATGTCACTGGGTTGTCATGAGGTTTAAATGAGATAGTCTACTTTAGCTGGTGCCTGGCACTTCAAAATATGATTTTGTTATTAACATATTCATGGCTGCCTAGCATGACACCTATAGCAATATCTCTAATCCTCGCCACCAACCTGGAAGTGGGCATTACTGGTCTGCAGATGAGGGGTGATATTCAGAGAGGGTGGCTGCCTTACCCGAGGTCACACAGCACGAAGTGCCAGAGATGGGATTTGAACCTGGGTCTCTCCACTTCCTATATTCCTGCTCTCCCCGGGGCTTTATGTCATCATCTCGAGATGAGCTACTTCATGGCTGTGACTTTCCAGAGCTCCCCTCGGCAGTAAAGGGGGAGAGGACAGCTGAGGAGATGGTGGCACAAACACACCCAAAGAAAAGCCAAGAGGGGCAGGCGGGCACAGGTTTGGGGTTGACTGGGCGAGTCTTCACTCATCTCAAAGCACAGAAATTAGACTTAGACACGGCCTTGGAGATGCACAGCCCCTTCCTCCTCCAAGCTGGTGCCTGTGATGGTAAAGTGACTGTCCCACAATTAATATTTCATTCATTGTGGTGACAGTGATGGTGGTGGTGATGATTACAAGTGCATGCCTTTTAATGTTAGTCTCTCCCACTAGACTATAAGCCCCCTGAGGACAAGGAACATGTCCGTGCTGATCTCTGTACCCTCAGAGCCTGGGACAGTGTCTGGCACACAGCAGTTGCTCATTAAACATATGAATGAATGAATGAATGAATGAATGAATGAATGAATGAATGAATGAATGAATGAATATGTTTGTTTCCCTGCATCTCAGCTTCCTGTCTAGTTGAACCACAACCAATCTTAGTGATGGTCTTAGGTCAATGTCTTCCACTAATGAACGTGCCATGATATAAAGAGGCTCAAATAAATCTGGGGCACATTGTGTCAAGAAGTCTCGACCAAAGGGCTTTTCAGAGACTCCAATGTCCTGAGGTGTTGGAGAGTGTGTAGGAGCGGGTTATGCAGCATTCCCCCAATCTGTTTCGCTATTCTTTTTCTCCCTCCCTCTGTAGAAGAGAGACAGGCATTTTGCTGGATGCCGTTCCAAAAAAACACAACTTGGGAAATGTCTTTTTAAACCCACTATGAGAGTGGGGCGCTGAGGTTGGATCAGAATGAGCCCTCACCTTGTCTTCACAACCACTTACGATGAAAAGCTGAGCAGAGCAGAAAAGAGTGATGACGCCTCAGAACCATGAGCATAAGCCTTTTAATGGTTCAAAGTCAAGTGTCTTTCAAACCAGACCTTGATAATTCTCTGTATGTGCAAAGGAGGCATCATCACACAGCACAGCTAAAATATAGAAGAAGAAAAAAAGGACAACCCCTAACCCGTCCCCAGATCACCCCTCTTTTGGCCCCGGTGGAGCGTGGCAGTCAGCCAGGATTACAGAGGCACTAAAATTTGGAGCCTCCAGAGCCCACGATTAGACCCTCATCGGGTTGTCTTCTCAGAAAGAGTTGAGCTTTTCCCCAGCCACAATCCGTTGCATGATCTGTTTGTGATGCCTGCTGTTTACCCAGGTGAATATTTATGGAAACCGTCAAGGGCAGGAGGGGCTCCCTGCATCCCTAATGTCTGGCCTCCAGCAGGGCCTATCGAGGCCAAGGCTCAGCTGCCACCTGCCACAGGTGGGCTGCCTGATCTCTCTGCAGGTGTGGCTGAGGCTCTGCACACCTGGTCTCCTGTCTCGAGGTACCTGGCCACCTGGAGCCCTCGTGGCTCCTCCGCAGCTGCCTGGGACTAGGAAGCTGCTCTTCCAAGGGGCTTGTGGGGTGGTGGGTAGTGAGCTGCTGGGGGCTCCACTGGTGGCGTCAGGTGGTGACACCCCAAGGCAGCCCCGCCCCCGCCTCTGCTTCCTGACCTCAGGGGCGGCCACAGGTGGGGAGGCGCAAAGGGAGCAGAGCTTGAACCTGGCCTTGGTATATTCCATCTAGAGCCTTCTCTCTGGGCCTCAGTTTCCCTGTGTGTCAATGGATGGGAAGAAGACTGCTGCAAGACCTGTGTACACTTTTTTAAAAAATAAAAAAATAAAAAATAAAATGTGCCACCTCTGAACCTTTCCACTACTGACAGTTTCTAAAAATCCATAGATTACTTATTAATGACAAAGGGTAAAGCTTCGCAAAATAGGAACCTTGGCAGACACCCCCTTCACCAAGCGATCAAAGTTACCATCACCAGTTTGGGGACAAGTGGACATCACCTGTCCCAGATGTGGTGCATTCTGAAGGACACGGCGTGGTGCCGGTGGCATTGGTGCCAAAAGGCAAGATGCACACATGTGACACCTCGGCCCCTTAGACCTCAGTGACTGACACACGCTCATGAATACAGAGCTGCTGCACCTGTTTTTCATTTTCAAAGTATCTTTTAAAAAATATTTAATAAACTCTTCATTTTGGAATAGTTGAAGATTTACAGAAAAGTTGCAAGACTCTTGCAGATAGTTCCCACGTCTGCTGCGCCCAGTTCTCCTTATCGTCAGCTTTGCTCTGGTACATTTATCACAATTCAGGAACCAATGTTGCTGCGTCATTATCCATTAATGCCCACGCACTATTCAGATGTTTTGTTTTGTTTTGTTTTGTTTTCATCTATGTTCTTTCTCTCTCCCGGGATCCATTTCCTCCTCATCTTTCCTTGGGCTCCTCTCGGCTGTGACACTTTCTCAGACTTCCCTCGTTTGGGACGACCTTGACAGCTTTGAGGAGTGCCGCTCGGGGATTTTGTAGCCTGTCCCTCAGCGGGGTTAGCCTGATGTTTTCCCACGATTAGACTTACCTGATGGGACTTTGGGACGATGACCACGGAGGCAAAGTGCCGTTTCCCATCCAGGGCGCATCCTATCAACATGACCTACACCTGGCGAGGGTTGTGCTTGTCAGGTCTCTCCACCGTGAAGTTACTCATTTCCCTTCCTCTCCATCCTGTCACCTTTGGAAGGACGTCACTACGCACAGCCCACGCCCAAGGTTGAGGAGTCACGTTCCATCTTCTCAAGAGTAAAGTATTATCATACACTATTTGAAATTCTCAATTTGTCTATCCTCCACGCCTATTCATTCATCATTTATTTATACCACTATGGACTCGTGGATAGTTATTTTATACTCTGGATTATAATCCAATACTGCATTATTTATTTTGTTGTGCAAAATGTTCCTGTTTTGGACACTGGGGGGCTCTTTCAGTTGGCTCCTGTGTCCCTTTGGAAAGCTATAATTTTTTTTTTTTAGCACGTGCTTACTCTGGCACTGCAAGATGTCCCAGGTTCATCTCATATATTCCCTGTCCCAGCCCTAGAAATGGCCATTGCTCTAAGGAGCCCTGGTTCCTTTTTATCAAAGAATGGATTCGAAATCAAGATCTGAGCAATACTTTTTAACATCTGCATGATATTTTGTCAATTGTTTTTACCGGTTTCCTGTTGATAGGCATGTAGGCCGTTGCCAATCCTTTGTTACTGCAAACACTGCTACAACAAATAGCAATGTGTTGATATATTTTCCACACGGGTCAGCATAACTGTACGATCAATTCCTTGAAGTCCTCTCAGTACCTTTGAGCTGTGCCAAACAGGGACAGAAAGAAGGATTAGGGAAAGAAAGCAATGGCAAATTCCCGATCAGCTCTTACACTAAATGGAGCCAAATTCTCAATTCCTGTGCACGTTCCTGCCTTCCCCAGCTGCCGTCCTCTCTACCCATTTCACGCCAAGCAGGGGGAGGTTCCTTCTCCTTTACCCACTGCCACCAACCCTCACCCCAATCTCTCCGGCACTGAAGCTATGCTTGCCCATTGAGTCATTGAGGAAGGGTCAGAAAACAATTTGGAACTCAAGGTCTTGCGTCAGAGAGTCTGGCCAGGCATGGGGGTAGGGGCCGGGGATCCAAGGTGAGCAAATAAAACTCAGTCTCAGCTCTCATGGAGCAGGTATTTTATTGGGGAAAGACAGACAATATTATAGAAGACGCCAGGTCATGCTAAAGCAGAGTCAAGGGATGGGTAGAGTGGAGTCCCAGGTGTCATTTCAGGTAGGGTGGCCAGGGAGGCCTTTCTGGTCAAATGAACTTTGAGCAGAGACCCGAGGGAAGTGAGGGAGGGAGCCACATGGCAGGAAAGTTGGTCCAGGCATTGGGAACGGCAAGTGCAAAGGTCCTGGGGCAGCAGCCTGCTTGGTGGGGTGGAGGACAAGCCAGGAGGCTGCAATGGCTGAAGTGAAGTAACAGACCAAGGTGAGATCTGCTTCTGGGCAGACTTAGGAGGCACTGGAAGGTTTAGGCAGAGAAGGGACAGGTCTGGCTTGGGTTTCAACAAGACTGTGGGAGAAACAGACAGAACAAGGAGCCCAGTGATGAAGCTGTTGGAATAACATGGGTAGGGCTGAGGGCTGTGGTCAGCTGACTAACAGTCCCCAACGATATGTACATCCTAATCCCTGGGACTTGTAAATATGTTACTTTCTATAGCAAGTGGACTCTTTGATGTGACTAAGTGAGGGATGTGGAGACCAGGAGATTATCTGGGATTATTTGGGCAAACCCAGTGTAGTCACAACAGTATGGCAGGAGGGTCAGAGTGAAGGGAAGGTGAGCCGGCCACAGAAGCAGAAGGTCAAACAAAGAGCTTTGAAGATGCTGTGCTGCTGGCTTTGAGGGTGGCAGGAAGGTCCCCGAGCTAAGGAACACAAGTGGCTGCCAGAAGCTGAGAAGCAGCAGGGAAACAGAGGCTCCCCTATGGCCTCCAGAGGGAAGCAGCCCACCAACACGTGACTTCACAGAACTGAAGGTCACGAATGTGTGTGGCTCTCGGCCACTGAGTTTGTTATAGCAGCGTAGAGGATGAACACTATGGGTGCTTGGACCAGGTGAAAGTAATGAGGAAAAGACAAAGTTTGGGGCAAATCTTTAGGAGGCAGGGTCGGCAGAACAACCCGCTGATGGGTCAGACACAGGTCAATGAGTGAGGAGTGAGCGCAGAAGACCCCCAGGTTTCTGGCTAGAGTAGCTAGGTGCCTGTTGGCCCCATTCATCAGGACAGAGAGCAACTGACATGCGGAGGAAACCACGAGCTCCCGCTCTTCTCCTCTTTCCAGAACCTTCCAGAACCTTCCAGAATCTCTCCCCACCACTGGCCTGTCCCAGGGTGGGAAGTTAATTCCCTCAGGCGCCAGACAGAATTTCTCACAGCCCCAAGCACACTCAAGAAGCAGCCAGGGTGGAGCTGGTTTAGACCTGCCAGGTTTTTTTTAGTCTTCAGGTATAATTGGAGATCCCAGCCTGGTGGCATCTAGGTGGCCCCAGATTATTTTTGCTGGGAGAGAAAAGGAAGCAGAAGAAAAAACAGGAAGGCCAGAGAGCAGGACGACTAACAATAATGCTATAATGTGGCTGATTATTAAATGCACAGGAACATACAGCCAAACAGTCCTTGCGACCGACATGTGGTGACCATATTTTCAGGGCCTGGTGTTGGGATGTGGGATTTATAAAGGGCATTCCATTTTCTTTTAATACCTTTGAAAGACCTTCTGATTTGTGAACTTCTTTAGGGGAGGCTACATTGAGTTGTATGTTTTAATAAAGGCAGTTCATGAAAATAATAAAATGAAAGTATATGAAACCAGGATTGGCTGGGCGACCCACCCTGGCCCTCTTATACAAGGCTTGTATCTCAGAGCTGCCTCGTAAACCCGGCCCCAGCCCGTCCTAGCCAGGGTCACGGTGTGCAGAAAACAGCCCCCCAGTTGTCATTTAATTCATATCACATATCAATAAGTATCTGTTAAATATAACAGTGCGTAGGAAACAATCCTCCAGTTGTTATTTAATTAAAGACATAACAATAAATATATGTTGCCTTGGAAACACAGTGACCCATAGTTATCTACTCCAGGCTTGAGGGTACATTTTTACGTGTGTGTGTGTGTGTGTGTTTCAATTGCACAGAGAGTATCCATAAGACATAGGGTGAAATTTGCTTTTCAGACTACCCTACCACAAAACAAGCAGATCTCTGTGTAATGGGTTGAGTAGTGTCTCACCAAAAAGATATATCTACATCCTAATCCCTAGAATCTGTGAATGTGATCTTTTTTAGGAAAAAGGGTCTTTGCAGATGTAATTAAGTTAAAGGTCATGAGATAAGATGATTCTGAATTTAAAGTGAGTCCTAAACCCAACAGCAGGTGTTCTAATGGACAAGAGAGAGACAGGCAGATTTGACTCAGACACCAGAGGGGAGAAAACCATATGGAGATGGAGGCAGAGGTCGGAGTGATGCCGCCACAAGCCAAGGAACACCTAGGGCCACCAGTAGCTGGAAGAGGCTCCCTAGAGCCTTTGGAGAGACCATGGCCCTGTTGATACCTTGATTATGAATTCCTGGCTTCCCAAACTACAAGGGACCAAATTTCTGTGGTTTTAAGCCATCCAGTTTCTGGTATTTTGTTATGGCAGCCCTAGGAAACCAATACACTCATAATCCTATAATTTGAAACTACAGCCCATGGGGTGGCTTCCTGTTATTGTAAATAAAGTTTTATTGGAACATGGCCACACGTGTCATCTCTGGGTGATTCAAGCTACCACAGCAGGGCTGAGTGGTTGCATCAGGGACCATATAGCCCAGTGAGCCTGAAACATTGACCCTCTGGCTTTCCAAAGAAAAGGTTGCCAATCCCTGACTTAAAACAGATATACAAAGAAATACTAGTCTCTCCACCCTTTCACCCCTCCAATGCCATCCCTTAGAGATGACGACAACTAATATACAATACTCTTCTTGACTTTGTCCTATGGTTAAGTATAAATATTTCTGTTTGTAGTTTATACATGAACAACATGTTCATTTATTAAAAATAAAAGGTAATTTTTTTTCATGATGAAAAAATGAAAATGACAAAAGGTTACTCCACGTAAAAGACATCTGATTCCACCCAGATGCCCCCTTTCTTAGTCCCCTCCCACAGACACCGTTATCACTTCCTTGCACATCTATTGAGACCATCTTTGCTTATGTTAGTGTTATAGGATGAACCATGTCCCCTCCGAGTTCCTATGTTGGGGTCCTAACCTCACAAGGCAACATTATTTGGAAATAGGGTGTTTACAGAAGTACCCGAGTTAAAACGAGGTCACTAGGATGGACCCTAATCCAATACGACCTTACAAAAAGGGGACATTTGGACACAGATACGCACACGGGGAGAATGTCATGTGAAGGTGATGGCAGAGATAGCGGTGACATGTCTACAAGCCAAAGAACACCAGGGACGGCCAGCAAACCATCAGAAAGCGAGGGGAGGGGGAAAAACAGATTCTCACTCACAGCCCTCAGAAGGAACCAGCCTAAGCAACACCTTGGCCTTGGATTACCAACCTGTAGACTGTGAGACAACACATTTCTAAATTTATAAGGGCCCTAGCAAACCAAATCAGCAAGTATCTGTGTATCCCCGTCCCCCCTTTTCTAATACCTGAGTGAGAGCTGATGTCACACGTTATTTGATACTTTGCTGGCTTCTTGGAGATTGTCCCGTGGCTGGTTCTTCTCCAGTAGCCCATCTGCCAGCCTCTGCGCCTGCTCCTTAACCCCACTCCGTGCACCAGCTGCTGCCCGTGTGGACTGCAGCTCTCGTGATCACGCCTCCGGCTTTTGGCTGGTTCGGCTGAGACTCCGGCAGAAAATTGGAGGTGGGAAGAGAGAAGGGAATAGGGTATTTATCTCTGACACATAAGTGGCCGTATATCTCTGCAGCTCTAGCCCTGTAGAGCCCACCCCTCTTCCACCTCTCCTGGCCTCACTGAGCACTAGCTGGTGAGGAAATGTCCTCCTCTGCCCCTTCAGCCCCAGGGCTGGTAATCGCTCCCCACTGCTGCTGGGTCCTGGTGTTCGACAATCCTTTGTAGGTTCCCTTTACCCTGCCCATATTCCTTTCCTGCAGCTGCTGTCACAATGACCACAAATCAAGTGGCTTAAAAGAACAGGAAGTTAATCTCCCAGTCCTGGAGGTCGGAAGGCTGCAAAAGCCACAGGGGAGAACCCCCCTTGCCTCTTCCTGCTTCTGGCGGCTCCAGGAATTTCTTGACTTGTGGCTGCACCACTCCAGAGTCTGCCTCCATCTTCATGTGACTTGCCCTGCGTGTCTTTTATAAGGACGCTTGTCGTGGGATTTAGAGTCAAGCAGGATAATCCAGCATGAACTCATTCTGAGATGCTTAATTACATTTGCAAAGATCCTTTTCCCAAATAAGGTCACATTCACAGGTTCCAGGAGTCAGGACGTGGACAGATGTTGGACTGGGGGGAGGTTATTGTCCATCCCACTACACCGCTGCAACAGTCCCCGCTTTAGATTCTCTTTGGTTCAGTCCTGAGTACACCATCTGTTTCCTGCTGACTGATACATGTCCTTCAAGAATGTGTAGAGCTACCTACCTCTTCTTAACAACTGCATAGAATTTCCTTGAATAGACACAGCTTAATTTACAATTAGCGTTTAATGAACCCCTTTACTTGTCTCCTTTTGGTGCCTAGTGTGATGCTTTACAAAGATGGATCTGAGGGGGGCCCCTTTGGCAACAGAATGTGTAGAAAACCGGCAGCTTGTCTATGACTCTGAATCAGCAGGGTATGTTCCTAGCAGCAATTTCTGCAGGTTTACGCTGTGGCAGATGCACGAGCTCCCTGCGTTTGGGCTCAGCGAGGGAGAGATCTATTGAAGGACACTCTGTCTGAGCTGGTCTTAAAAAGTAGGGGTGGGAGTGTGTTCAGAAAGATATTGTAATGGCCAAAAGCTCATGAAAAGATGCTCAACTTCACTAGCCATCACAGGAATGCAAATCAAAACCACAATGAGATATCGCTGTACTTACTCTGGCTCATTATGTATTTAAAAAAAGAAAAATAATAAAAAGATACCACTGTACACCCACTAGAGTGGCTATAATTAAAAAGATTTCATAAGAAATGTGGATTTAGAGGTGAAGAACCTTCATATATACTGCTGGTAGGAATGTAAAATAGTGCAGCCAGTTTGGAAAACAAGTTAGCAGTTTCTAAAAAGGTTAATAAGCATAGAGTGACCATATGCCCTGGCCATTTCACTCCTAGGAATATGCCCAAGAGAAATGAAAACTACGTCCACACAACTTCAATCTCAGACTTCCTATTTCATAGCTATACCACTCTAAGCAAGTTGTTACACCCGTCTGGCTCTCAGTTTACCCGTCTGCAAAAAGCGGATGTTTATTTCCAACACGCACATTCTAATAGTTACACAAAATGCTCAGTAATTGATTTATGGTGCCTCTGCCTCAGTTCCTCCATCTCTAAAAGGGAGGCAACAGTCCCTAACCCTGTCCCCATTCTCAGGGCAGTCTTAGGGCTAAATAGTAAAACTGTGAAGGGGCGAGAAAAGGGCTGCCGGATCCACGCAGCACCAACGTCCCCCAATGTCGGGCACCTGCGCCCCCTGCCGCCGTAGCTGCTGCATAGGTGCCTCCGGGAGCGCCGTGCGCCTGCGCAGAATGCAAGCGCCCAGGCCCGCCCCTTGGGGGTGTGACTTCCTTGAGTAGCTCTGGTTTGGTGACGTCACTTCCTGTTGGGGCCGGCCGAGGTCTGGGCTACTTGAGTGTTTTCCGGCTCTCCAAAGATGGCGGCGCCCAGAGCGGTAGCGTGAGAGTTGACGGTGGAAGTCGCTGTCCCGTTGCGCCGGAATCAAAACAGTGGGGACCGTGCGCCATGTCGCGACTGATCGTGAAGAACCTCCCGAATGGGGTGAGTGCAGAGCCAGGACTTGGAAATATGAAGATAGGACCAGCCGGGAGCTGTGGAGTTGGGAAAGATGTAGTTGAGGGGAACCAGGGCATTTCCCTGTGGGGCGGGACTCCGGGCGGATTCGGAACCCAGAGGGGCAGGATCCTTTGACCGATGGGGAAGAGGAAAAGTGACTCTTAAGGTGTCACAGCCGGCCGGTGGGTACCGACTCCCGACCCGACAGCTCTTTTTGTAGAGAGGTGCCAACTCGCACCTCGTGCCGAATGCTCTGTCCCACAAGCTCTGCTCTCTTGTCTGATCACTTTGTTGTTGTTGACCCGTGACTGGCTCAGTGTATTTATTACACATTCCTCTTCTACTCGGGAGACTGTTGGCAGAGTATTAGTCTGAGGACCTGCGTTCCAATCCCCACTCCCGTCATTGAGGCGATACTGAGTGCGTGTGAAGGGCTTTAAACCATTTATCCAATAAGTGGGGGATAAGTGACCCAGCCACACTTTTCTGTTCCCTAGAGCCAGGCACGGAACCTGGCACGTGGTAGGCATCCAAAGAAAAAAATTGCGGGATAGTGTGCCTTCTTCATTTCTTGAGCTGCCTGCCTCAGTGACTATCTGCTGAGTTCCCACTATGAAAGATGAAGAACTTAGATTATCTATTCCTCCCCTCCAGTCTCTGTAATGTTATTGTTTTTAATTCTTCCATCATTTCCCCAAGTAGTGTACTTATAAAATATCTATTTTTTTTTTTTCTTTTGAGACAGAGTCTCACTTTGTTGCCCAGGCTAGAGTGAGTGCCATGGCATCAGTCTAGCTCACAGCAACCTCAAACTCCTGGGCTCAAGCAATCCTCCTGCCTCAGCCTCCCAAGTAGCTGGGACTACAGGCATGCGCCACCATGCCCGGCTAATTTTTTCTATATATATTAGTTGGCCGATTAATTTCTTTCTATTTATAATAGAGACGGGGTCTCGCTCTTGCTCAGGCTGGTTTCGAACTCCTGACCTTGAGCAATCCTCCTGCCTCGGCCTCCCAGAGTGCTAGGATTACAGGTGTGAGCCACCGTGCCCAGCCAAAATATCTATTTTTGATCCATCCATCATCTTTAGACAGTGTCTCTTGATGCCTCTCTTTATTGGATCAGGATTTTAGCCTTGTTATCCTTCCTTTCCCTCCCAACTTCTGCTTCGTTGTGTTTCTCAGTGGGGATGACTCTCTTATGTTTGTTGTGTTTGACAAATGAAAGAATAACAAAAACAATATTAGTAGTGGTAGCAAACACTCTCAGTGTTTTACTATGTGCCAGGCACTGTTCTGGATGCTTTAGGTAAAGTAACTCATTTAATCCTAACCACAACTCTGAGATAGGTTCTATTATTGTGCCCATTCAAAAGGTAAAGAAACCCAGGTACAGTAAGGTAAAGGAATTTGCCTGAGGTTACACACAGATGGTAATTCATAGAGGAGAGATTGCATTGAGCAATCTGGTTCTAGAATTTGCATTCCTGACCCTGCACCATAGTTTCTCTTAGCATGACTGCCTGCACTGGTTTTAGTTATTTTTCAGCAAATAAACATTTACTATTGAGTACTTACTTATAATATTGCTGACATTGTAGATAGAGGTGGATAAGACTTAGTCCCCACTTTTATGGAGTTTTCAGTCTAGCAGAAGAGACAGACACCAAGTATAGGGTTTGAAGTGTCAACTAGGTGCTTTGGAAGCACAGAGGAGGTTGGGATGGGATCCCTAACCCAACTGAGGGATCTAAGAAAGGCCTCCTAGAGAAGGAGAGATTGAACTGAGAATGAGGAGGAGTTAGCCAGGGCCTGTCTGGGAAGATATCTCCCAGAGGGGACGGCCAAAGTAAAACTTAAGAGGTGAGAAGCACAGTTTGGCAAGACATGGGACTGAAGAGATGGGTCAGGGTTGGATCGTGGAGAATCTCATGTTTCCCTGTAGGTGTCTGTCCTTGAGCCTTTGGTACCAGAAAGTCACCAAAAGGTTTTTGGCAGAGCAATGGTGGGGTTGGACTTGAGTGAGGTCTCTCCCAGGCAGTAGGGACTTGAATTCACTGTGTTTTATACATCTGAGCTGAGTCACAAAGCTTGATTCTGTAGACCTTGGACAGATCATGTATCCCCTATGAGCTTTATTTTCTTCTTTGAAAAATGTGGCTAAAAATTCCTAACCCATAGAGTGGTTGAGATTTTGATGGTATCAGAATTATTAAGAAGCTGCCTCAGAAAATGTAGTCCCCTCTCAACCCCACTGCCACACCTAAGCAGTGGTGTCAACCCCACTGCCACACCTAAGCAGTGGTGTCAACCCCACTGCCACACCTAAGCAGATCTAAGCAGATCTGCCAATATCTGCTTAGAAAACTCACTGCATTGTCGGGGTAGCCTGGCTGGAGTGAGGATGGTGGGACGCTAGGAGTCAGTTTTACGTGCAGTGGGCTTCTTAACCAAGTTATAATAATATGAGCATGTTGATTCCCTCATGCTGCTGTAAGAAATTATCACAAACGTAGCAGTTTAAACAATACGAGTTATTTTACAGTTCTGGAGGTCAGAACTCTTAAAATGGAGATTTTGGCAGGGCTGTGGTCCTTCTGGAGACTCTAGGGGAGCCTTTGCCTTTTTCAGTTCTAGAGGCCACCTGCCTTCCTTGGCTCATAGCCACGTAGTCTGTCTTCACAGCCCATAGTGTCGCATCTTCCAGTCTCTCTCTGCTTCCATCTTCTCTGAGTCTCCTGCCTCCCTCTTGTAAGGACCCTTGAGGTGACATTGGGCCCAGCTGGCTAAACCAGGATCATCTTGCCATCTCAAGATCTTTAACTTAATCACATCTGCAAAGTCCCTTTTGTCCTGTAAGGTGACATCTCCAGAGGTTCCAGGGAGTAGGGTGTGGACATCTTTGGGGGGACTCCATTGTTCTCTATACTACAATTATTAATAGCAAATGTTTATGTAGCATACCATGTTTGTTCATTCATTGATTCTGACAAGCATTTATTAGGTATATACTATGTAGCAGCTCTAATACTGCTTCTGTAATTGGGCTTATCCTCATAATAGCCCCATAGGGTAGGAAGATGGCATTTGCAGCCATTCTGACTCCTTTTTTTTTTTAGACAGAGTCTCACTCTGTTGCCCTGAGTGGAGTGCCATGGCATCAGCCATGCTCACAGCAACCTCAAACTCCTGGGCTTGAACGATCCTCTTGCCTCAGCCTCCCAAATAGCTGGGACTATAGGCTTGTGCCACCATGCCTGGCTAATTTTTTCTATATATTTTTAGTTGGCCAATTAATTTCTTTCTAATTTTAGTAGAGACGGGTCTGGCTCTTGCTCAGGCTGTTTTCCAACTCCTGACCTTGAGCGATCCTCCCGCCTTGGCCTCCCAGAGTGCTAGGATTACAGGTGTGAGCCACCACGCCCGGCCTCGTTCTGACTCTTGATTTCTGCATCAGCTCATGGGTGAGGGGCTCAAGGCCACACAACTAGAAAGCGTTAGAGTCAGAGCTGGAACCTGGTCTACCTAGGAACACGCTCTGCCACCTCCTAATCTATGGTCACCCTTGGAGAATCCAGTGGCCTCAGGTATCCAGCCCAATTTGTCTGCTCACTCTGGGCACGCCCCAACTCCTCCCTGGTCTCATGCCTGTCTGTTCCAGATGAAGGAGGAGCGATTCAGGCAGCTGTTCGCCGCCTTCGGCACGCTGACAGACTGCAGCCTGAAGTTCACCAAAGACGGCAAGTTCCGCAAGTTTGGCTTTATCGGCTTCAAGTCCGAGGAAGAGGCCCAGACGGCACTGAACCATTTCAACAAGAGTTTTATTGACACGTCCCGGATCACGGTGAGTCTGTGGGAGTCTACAGGTAAGTAAGCCCTTACTTACCTGTAGAAAGTGACACCACTCGGTCTTTTACTCAACACTGGGGCCCAAAGGCTGTCCCCCTCACTGGTTCACACACTTCCAAGTGCGTAAGCATCACCTGAGAGCTGGTTAAACAGTTTCCCGAGCCCATCCCCAGAGCTCTGATTCGGTAGGTGAGCTGGGGCCCAAGATTGGGCCCGTCTAACATGGCAGCAGGTGATGCCCGTGCTGCTGGTCCGAGGACCACACTTTGAGAACCACAGGTCTGCATCATCCATTCACTCACCCATTTAGCAAGTACTCAGTGAACCCCCATTTGAGGCTGGGAAATTAGAGGAAAATGTGATTTTCCTCAGCCCCTGACCTCAGTGAGCCAGCTGCCTTCGGACAGGCAGGGGGTCCACAGGTAAACAGGTTGCTTTTGTTCAGTGTCATCGGGGCTATGACAGGTCGAGCACCAGCGACTGCGGGAAAAGAGAGGAGGCCTCTCTTTCCCTGGCCAGGGAAGAGTCAGGAAAGCTTCCTGGAGGAGGAGGTCCCACTGGGGTCACTCGTGCATTTAATGACTGTGGAAAACATCTCTAATGCTTTTTTGAGAAGGAAAAAACAGATAATGGACTAGTATATGTGTGTATCACATGGCCCCATTCATACACAGCCATATCCCCCGTCTGTATGTGTATGGTTTATGCATAGAGGGCCACGTGGTAGGAGTTTTACCAAAATAGTAATAACTCCTCTCTCTGGGTGATAGGAATTGGAGTACATTTTTTTAACTTTCACTGTATTTTTTCCTATTAGAATTTTGTTCTCTGAGCACATGTCATTATAAC